TAGCTTCCAAGGTCCTTAAAGGCATTTTAAATTATACTTGAAAAATTTTTGAAAAATAACAAAACCATGACTATATTGAGGACAGAATTGGGAGATAAAATAGAGAACTAAGTGGAACTTTTAGGGATACAAAATAAGACACCAAACTGAAAAATTCATGTGGCTGGGTTAACAGCAGATTGGACACTGAAGGAAAAAAGACAGCATAGGAAAAAAAGAAAAAAAGACAGCAGAGGAATTACCTGAATGGAAGGGAACTGACACTGTTCACAAAAGTTCACTCTCAAAGGGACTTCCGCCAAGACGGAGGCGTAGGTGGAAGCACTGTGCCTTCTCGCACAACCAAGTTTAAAAACAACAAAGTTTTAGGAACAAAAACACAGCCAAACCACAGAAAATTGAACTATATGGAAGTCTGACAACAACAAACCCTTCAGCCAAACCAGTAAGAGGGGCAGAGCCAGCAGCAGAGTGGGGTCAGGCAGGATAGATCCACCGGACGGACTGGGTGCGCCTGCAGCCATAGGCGGATCCCAGGTGTGGAGTAGCGGGTGGACCCACTGAGGGCGCAAGGTGGTGGACTCACTGAGGGCAGACCACGGTCACACATTCTTGCGCAGATAAACCAGTGAAGGAGCCAGTGGTGAGACACATCATACAGTCCCCAATGGTGGGAAGTGGCAGAGGGGACCACCATTGTCCCTCTCTGACTCCGCCCCCACATACAGCTTCACAAACCAGCGACCTGGATGGCCCCACCCTGGTGAACATCTAAGGCTCCGCTCCTCATACTTAATGAGCGCGAACAGACCAAAAATGGCTCAAGAAGATCTCAAAGCCCCAGAGCCTATAAATCTAAGTGACGAAGAAATAGGAAAACTTCCAGATGCACAGTTCAAAACACTGGTCATCAGGATGCTGACAGAACTGGTTGATTTTAGTCACAAATTAGAGGAACATATGAAGGCTAAACTAACTGAAATGAATGGCAATGCACAGGAAACCAATAGTAATGGAAAGGAAACTGGGACTCAAATCAAAGGAGTGGACCAGAAGGAAGAAAAAAATGACCAAACAGAAGAAACAAGAATTCAAAAAAAATGAGGAGAGACTTAGGAACCTTCAGGACATCTTTAAATGCTCCAACATCCGAATTACAGGGGTACCAGAAGGAGGAAAGGAACAGCCACCAGTGGAAAACTTATTTGAACAAATAATAAAGGAGAATTTCCCCAATCTGGCAAAGGAAATAGACTTCCAGGAAATCCAGGAAGCTCAGAGTACCAAAGAAGTTGGACCCAAGAAGGAACACACCAAGGCACATCATCATTACATTAGCCAAGATTAAAATGAAAGAGAGAATCCTAGAAGCAGGAAGAGCTAAGGGGACAGTCACCTACAAAGGCGTTCCCATCAGACTGTCAGCTGATTTCTCAAAAGAGACCTTACAGGCAAGAAGGGGCTGGAAAGAGGTATTCCAAGTCATGAAATCTAAAGACCTAAAACCAATATTGCTCTATCTAGCAAAACTTTCATTTAGAATAGAAGGGCAGATAAAGTGCTTCTCAGATAAGATCAAATTCAAGGAGTTCATCATCACCAAGCTCTTATTATATGAAATGTTAAAGGGACTTATCTAAGAAAAAGAAGATAAAAAAAATGAACAGTGAAAGGATAGCAAACTCAGTTATTAACAACCACATCTAAAACAAAAGCAAGCTAAAAGGACAGCTAGATCAGGAGCAGAACCATAGAAATGAAGATCTCATGGGGGGTTAGCAACAGGAAGTGGGAGGAGAAGGGGGGAGAAGGTACAGAAAATAAGTAGCATAGATGGTAGGTAGAAAATAGATAGGGGGAGGGCAAGAATAATATGGGAAATATAGAATCTGAAGAACTTGAGACAAGTGGTCATAAATTAAAGGGGGAGAATGGTGGGGGAAGGGGTGTGCAGGGTGGAGGGGAATGAAGGGGGGAATAGAACAACTGTAATGGCATAATCAATAAAACACATTAAAAAAAGTTCACTAGAAATGGAACACAGACCCAAACATGAGTGGATTAACTGTAAAAATTCCAGAAGAACACAAAATAAAATATTTGCATCATAAGACAGGTTAAGATTTCTAAGGCAAGAAACAAAAAGCACTAACCCATAAAAGTAGAAATTAATAAAATGGTGTTCATCGATATTTAAAATGTGCACTTCAGAAGACAACGTCAGGAAATTGAAAGGCCGGGCAGCAGAAGAAATCATCTGCAAATCTGCCCCCCCACCCCCACTCCCGCTCTGACGACCCTGCTTTTCTGCCTTCCCTCCCCCCCGAGGCTGGTGCATCCTGGCTTCCTTCCCCTAAGGTCCAGAGCCCTTCTTTTGCTTCCCCAACTTGTTTCCGGAGCCCACACAGCCTCACTTCTGACACAGCTCACTTCTACCTCTGTGATTTTCTGCATAAACTTTTCCTCGTTTTTGAAAAGAAAAAGAAATAATCTGCCATATGTATGTGGATGCCTTGAACAAAGGGATGATTCGTGTGATGTCATCACTCTACTCGAAACAACTTGCAATGATTTCTGGGATCTTTCACTGAATATTTTTAGACCACAGTTGAGCACAGGTAGCTGAAGGCTGCAAATAAAGGGGGACTACTGTACACATCCTAAAATGGGTGCATTTAAGTATATGTAATTTACATCTGATGAAAGTTGTCTTAAGACATGTATCAACTGATTATAACATCTGGGCCTCACCAAGATCCTGACTTTGAATTAGAACAGTTTTGAAAAGGAGGGGAAGGGGATTTCAAATGTGCCAAGTCCTGGCTGATATTAAGGAATTACTGTTAAGCTAAATGACGGGTCCAGATTCATTTTATTTTTTTCCCTCCTTTTGTATGTTTGAAATGTTCCATGATATAACACTTAAAAAGCATAACTTCGAATATGTAAAGGATTATTACTATGTAGACAAGGAATTAGAAGACCTCATATGGAGGAACAGTTGGAGACAGTGTGAGAACCGAGCCGGCCAAGAGCACCTGTGAGGCAGGTGTGAGGTTGCTCGCACTAGGGATCCTCATGCCCAGACTTTGGCACTAATGCCAGGTCTGCAGGACAGGAAACGACTCGATTAGTGAGAAGTTGGGCTAGTTGCCCTCGCAGGTCTCTTCTAACCATGAACTCTAACTAACTGTTCCTCTCTGAATCTGACTTCCAACGTGGTTTTCCCAATCAACTCAGTGCCCATTACTCCCCAGCCCCAATCAAACAACGACCTGTATTTATTTGCTACTTCACAAAAACGACTTTACATATTTTCCATTTCTGTAAGTTTCATAGATACTTGCTATGACTTTTTCTTAAGACTTTCAGAAATTAGAATTACGCCTTATCTTATAACTCCTAGAATCTTTTATTCCTAGCACAATACTCTGTAGATACTGGGCCATCAAAATGTTTTGACAGTATCTTTCAAAGCAGCGTTACTTTGTAACATCATACCCACCTCCCCTGCCATTCATGTCTGTGGCTTCTCCCACCATCTCTCCAGCAGGGACTGTCCCCTCTACCACCTCTGGGTCCCCCAGCCCTGGACTCCAACAGGGCTCTGTGTGTACCTACCAATAAAGTGAATGAAGAACCCCTCCCACACATGCAGGCTGCTAAACTTCTGAGGCGATGACTATGTGCCCTAATCATCAAATGTGAATTCCGAGACTCCCTTCATCACTGAAAATTTCATTATTCTAACTCACAGGTCACACACACCTTCCCCATGTTGCTGCCACCATGATAAACATGGAGAAACCTGAACAACGGGTTGGTTTTCCTCCATCTTCCCCTTCCTGGTGGCCTCTCTCCCGAATTCCTCAGGTGTCCAGCCTCTTCGTGCTGCCCTCCCACCGTCCAAATGAGGGGGTGGGGTGATGCCAGGCACTGCACGAGGTGTTTTATGTTATCGACCCACTTGCTTCTCACAACAGCTGGAGTTGGGACTGTGCATTTAAACGTGGGAAGCTGATATTCAAAGTGCAGTAATTTGCCCAGGCTTCTAAATGAGGTGTCCAGGGACTGACCGGACCGTCCTGACTCAGAGCCCATGCATTTTACAGACCAACAACAACAACAATAACAATAACAAAAGCCCTCTTTTCTACACAAGCCTTGAAATAACAGGACCTAGAGACGAGATTTTTGTTAGGGGAGGATACTTTATAGCTCCAAGAGCAGCTGGGCCTCCCACTTGCACAAGTCTGCTCATTTCAGTAATTTACCCGGAAAAACACCCAATTTCAACAACCACCACAAGGGGGCGCTAAGCCCTAAAAAACCTCAGATAAACTGCAAGACAGATTAAATGTCTCATTTGGATCCAGACCTGAATAAACATTCTAGTGAGACTCTTTCTAAGAAACAAATCTGACCATACTCCTTTCTTGCTAAAAACTTCAAAGGACACCCACCCCAACCAGTCTAACACAGCACAACACACACCCAGCTTTCTGCTGGCCCATCCCCCCTGCCCGGCTCTGCACGGGACCAGCAGAACTCCCCTGGCCGCCCCGTCTCCCTCCCCCACCCTTCCGTCATGTCAAACGCCACCTGGTCCTTCAGCTCTGCTCAGAACATGTCTCAGACCACCTCCCACCGCCACGGACCAATTTCTTCAACACAGAGCTCCTCCATCACCGAGGCGCTTCCCGTTCTACCTGCGCGACTCTCTGTGCAGGGGAATGCTCACGGTATCTCCTGGCCAGACAGGCAGGCCGTCAGGGGCGGGCCACGCAGCACTCTGAGCGCCGGCCCAGAGCGGGCACAGGCAGAGCAGCCTCTGGTGCAGCAGTGAGCTGAGCACCGTCCAAGTCGTGCCCCTGCGGCTCATGTCGGGGGCTCTCCTCCACGGATCAGGAGGGACTTCTGCGAGAGCACTTCACGTTTCTCACCCGACGTTCAAAGTCAACTTAAAAACATTCCATTTGAAGTCGAACTTGAGAACTCACCGTCCTGGTTACGTAGGACACGAGCGACTGCAGGAAGAGAAGTGCGTTTTCCACGGGCTCTTCATCAGACGGTTCCAGTTCCTCCTCTTCGTCAACGTCGTTGTCATCAGTGCTCTCCGTCACAAACAGCCCTAAAATGGAGGAGGGGAATAGGCGTGTTTCGTTTCACGCTTTAGGAAAAGAACTGTTTCTTGTCCCCTAAAATACTTCTGGAGTGCCCATGAAACAGCAGTCACTGTGCCTGCATCTCCCTCACTCAAAGACAATCACACATAGAAAAGACTTTGGATCCCCATCCGAGTCATCACGCCTTCAGTGATGCAGGGAGCGTGCCCCCAACACACCCTCCCTCCCCAGACCAGCTGAGCCCCTCTCCCTGCTGTGGCCTCGCCTGTATCTGCAGGGGGTTAGGGAGACTGGCCCGGGTACCACCAGGTACTGCGATCCCTAGGTCCCTGGGCCTTTAAAGACACAGAAACAGGAATGATGTCATGTCACCATTAAGACAACACAACCAGCTGTTCCTCTGATCTCCTGCTAAAATGAGCGAGCTCCGTGAGAACTAGAAAGCTGTGGATACCGTAATTGGGGTTCCATTTTTTTTTATTTTGTTTTTTAAAACAAGTTTCTCAATTCAAACCGTAGACGCTCGCTGTGCTCTGAGAGGCAGGCACTGTTTGTCGGTGCCAGCCTCCGCTGGACGGCTGTATGCTCTGTGCCGTTTGCCGTTCTCTTACTTGGGGGTGAGGGGGCGTGAGTGTGGAGCGGGGGGAGAACACAGAGTTTGTGAGGTTTGGAGCAGCGGTTCTCCAACACCCACTGTCAACCACTTCAGAGTTTCCTGGAGGGCCCGTTACTTGCTACTCGCTGTGCCCCCCCTCAGAGCTCGAGATGCTGCTGGTCTGGTTGTAAACTACAGTTTTAGAGTGTAAGGCTCTTAAAGTATCGTTTCAGTTTAAAATCGTCTGCGTAAGCCAATGCTCGCCAGTCACTGGCGTGAGGGTTAGTCACGGCCTCTGGCCTGATTCCTGAGATGGAACAGTGTCTTAACTCCTGCTGTCCGTCCCATTCCAGGGTTTCTTATTATTGAAAGTCGCTCACGTCTGTACCGCTCTCCCCTCTATTTCCTCTCTGCAAGAACAGATCTCAGGGAGGCTCTCCTTTATGACATGCCTCTGCTCTTCGGAGGAAAATCAGCAAGCTTTACCTGGGTGGACATCCTTCTCAGTATTCGGCTCCTGTGACGCTTCTGAGGTACCCATGTTACTCGTCACGGGCTGATCCAGGTGGCCGGGCTCTTCAGGAATCTGCATTTCAAGATCTTCTATGTTCTCTTGGGAGGGATCATCTTCCAGGGGTGGCTGTACCTCTGCGGGGAGGAAGAACACACTGGCGGACAAAGCTTGCTGACAACCCCCCATTCAGTTCCTCCCACTGAGCATCGCCCCCACACACAGCTCCGGGGCACACCCCTCCCGCCCCTCCGAGGGCTGGCAGCCAGGGAGCCCAAGTGGGCAGGGAGACACTAGTTTCAGATGCTTTTCCCTCACTGCAAAGATGGCTAACACACATAATAAAAATGACAAAGAAGCCCTTATGCCAAAGGACTTCATAAAGAATATACTCACAGTAGGGACCTCAATACCCTAACTTCCTTTGGCCCACGCAGATAAATGTGCAGAAGAGAATGCCAGTCAAGAGCAAAGACGTGAAACATCTCTCCTACACAGAAGCGACACATACTCTCCCGTGCACGAGCACGGCTACCTCGGAGCCAGCACAGAGAAGGGCGTCGCGCACAGAGGCAGCGGCCAGGGGGCCTCCAGTGACCTCCCGTGACCTCCAAAGGATCTCAGCGGTCAGAGCGAGAGCCCATTTCTGTCCCTAAGAGGCTGAGGGCACCAGCCCAGTGTGAGCCACCACACAGATGAATTTCTGTGAAGCCACTAATTTACCTAAATTCAAGTTTCATAGCCCAATCCAGTACACATATGCTTTAATGACATGCAAAGATGTTTCGGTCCCCAAACGCTCAGGAAAAACTGGCACCTGGGGGAGATGAGTTTATCCTGCGCCTCTAAGTCCGCCTCCTGGCACTCCTCTCCAGACCCTCAGTCGAAATGTCCCCGTCTGAAAGCACGGGGACATGGGAAAGGCCATGCAGCTGGGGACCAGCTCACATTAGGGCACTGGCTCGGGGTCTGTTCTGCTACTGTCCCCGAGTGGCTCCTGAGTGTCAGGTGCTGTGTGAGAACTCCGCGCCCTGGTCAGTGCTCCATCGGTCAGAAGGCAAGAACCCCAGGGCCCCGTGCAGCGTAAGTGAGCCTGGCGACTGCCCCAAAGAGGCAGACAGCACAGGGCACCCCACGACACGGCAGGGTGCCAAGGCAGAGTCACGCCTGCTGGGCCTCGGTCCCACCGCAGCTACGGTGTGGTGAAGAAGCTGTGTTTCCAAAAACGCTTTCCTCGTTTTACACAAAATGTGCGCTTTGCTCACAGGTCTATCACGTGCATCTTTTTCTTTATACCTTTATCTTTTTATGAAAACGCTACCATTCTCCACTATTCTAAGGAGGAAACAGGATAAGAAATCCTTATCCAAGCCTGAAAAAAGACAGCAAGGGACGTGTGCCCATCATTATCCTGCCTCGTGCCTTTGGACACTGGACACTGGACAGACCTTCACGGAGAAGGTCTGAGACACGTCAGCAGCCCCACCCGGGTCCCTGCAGCCCCACCCGACAAGCCACAGGCAGGTACTTTACCTTCCGCGGGTCCATCCCAGCCTTGCTCTGCAGGCGGCGCCACTGCCAGCGGTCCCGCGCTCCGCCCCGTGGAGTGTCTGTACCTGACGGAATAGATCAGGTCTTGCACATCATCCAGCACTGCGGCCTCCTCAAATACGTCTTCCTCCATTCCCGCAGCCCGGAGCTCGGTCACGCGAGCGTCCAGCATTTCCTCCGCCGCACTCAGAATCCGTGACTCCGACGTGCGGAAGACCTTGTCCAGGGCTTTTTCCACGCTGTAGGGCGGGCTCTCCTGCTGCGCGGACTTCAGCGCTGACGACATTTCTTGGAACATGGCCTCCAGCTCGTGGGCATCAAAGTACTTCTGGAACCGCTGCAACGACTGCTGCTCCTTAAAGAAGCTGCTTATGAAGGGCAAGTGGGCGAAGTGGCTGCTGTGCTCCGGCTCCGCCTCTGTGCCTGCAGCCTGGTGGGACGCATGGCCGTCACGCTCCTCAGGGGCGGCCCCCCGGCTCTGTGTGTCCGTGAGCTTCTCTCCGTCCTCCCGGTCCTCTTGTGAGAGTCCCACCCCCGGCGTCTCCGCCAGCCCCGAGGTCTTCAGGGGGTCCTCGGGGTTGCCCTCGGTAGCAGAAGCGGAAGCGCTATTCTGAAACACTTCTGGCTCCGGAGTCTGGTGCGTTTTCTCACCAGGGAAGTCGCTCCCTTCAGGTGGTCTCTGTGCTTCCTTATCTGCAGCAGGGCTTCCTTCCTTTACTGCCCCCAGACCACCAGGTTCCTTGCCTGGCGTGCCTACCTCTTTGCCCACAGTCTCATTTTTCCTATCAGTTTCCCAAATATTCCTAGCTGCTTCTTTGTTGGCTTCCGTTTCTGCTTCAGTATTCACGGCACCTAAAACCCCTCTTTCGGGGACTTGAGGAGGAACCTCAAACTGCCTGTCCTGCCTCTCAGGGCTGTTCCCTCTGGACTGCTGTGCACTTGCGGCATTTTCGTCCTCCAGTAGTTCCTCGGGGGCGTCGTCAGCATCGTCTGCCTCTGGTTTCTCGGTGCGGGGACCTGGCCCTTCTGCGCTGCCCGGCTGGCCCACTGTTTCTGCTCCTGGAGTGTCCGGCTTCGGACGGACAGACTCCCTGCCCACAGCGTCTCCTGTGACCTCTTCTGAGGACAGCCTCGTCTTCTCGTTCACGGGCGGGCTCACTACAGCAGCCACATCTTGTTCTTGTTGCCAGGACAGATTTCTCCCCAGAACGGGACCCTCGTCTTCCAGCCCTGTTGACAAACCAATTTCATCAGGAGAGGAGAACCGGGGTTGATTTTGAGTCTTAAGAAGCTGTTCCTCTTTAAATTCCTCACTTAGATGCTCCACTGAAGCTGTGTGTGGTTTTGATCCGTTTACTAAAATATCTACTTCCTCCTCCATTCCGTCTTTAGATGCATTATGCTGATCCTCTCCCAAGAGCAGAGCGCCATCCCTGGCTTCCTGTTTAATGTTTTCATCCTTCACCTGATTCCCTGCAGCCTTATGCTCCCATCCACTCTCTGAGTCACCTTCCAAAATCGGCTCTCCAGGCTCCTCCTCCTGGACCATTCCTTTCGGGATAGGAACAGCTGCTCTTTTAGGATCCTGTTCTTTGTTACCAAAGACCGATTTTAATGTTTCTTTGCCCTTTTCAGTTGCTACCAACAAGTTCAGGTTGCTGCTCTGAGTCGGGCTGTGCAGAGTCCTGTCTTCTTTCTTCTCATCCTCTAACCCTTTCTTAGCCTGCACCAGGTTCCTCTCAGATTCCTCAGCTGTCCTCCCGCTTCCTTTATCGTGAAGCTCTGGGTCCATTTCTGGGTCTCTCTCATTATTGGTTTTAAGAACTTCTACAACAGGAAGACCACCTTCTGCCTTTTTAGAGTCCGTATAATCTGTTGGTAATTGTGGTTTCCCCCATTTGCTGTCTGGAACTAATCCATCATCGCCTTCCTGTTCTTCTTCTGAATTGTAACTCTCAAAATCCATACCTGTTTGTTCCTCGCCTTCTGTGACAGTGGAGACGGCAGTGTCCTCCCAGGCTGTTGGATCTTCTCCATCATTTTTGATGTGCAGGGGCTGAGTTACCTCCACTTTGTCCTCTTCACTTGAATTCTGCTCTTTGTCAGTTGAGTATTTCCCAACCTCAGATGTTGCCGGCATTTTCGAGTCTTCTTCATCTGTATAGGTTAGTAAAGGTATCTCATCAAAGTTTTCCTGATCCTCTTCCTCTTCTTCCTTCCCAATTACATAATACTCAGCATCTAAGTCCTCATCAAAATCGTCTTCTAATGAAGTAACAAGTCTGGTTGTCTCATCATCAGACACAAGTGCATCGGCAGTTGAGCCAAATTTGGTTTTCAAGTCCAGAGTCATTTCTTTTTTCAAAAGTTTATAAGCATCCACTTTCTCCTGGTCATTTGAGATGTGAGAAGTATTGCTGGTTTTGTTGTTTTCACTGTCCTGCACTTTTAATTTATCTTGAAGCAGTTCTTCAAATGATTCAAGCGAAGGCTGCTCCCCCTGCGAGTGATCCGTGTGACCACTTGCATGGGGGCGGGTCTCCTGAGCCCCATAGCTCTCCTCCTGCGCCTCAGCGTTTCCCGGGAAACTGCTGTGTCTCCCCTCCGCGGTGGCCTGGTCCGAGTCAGGCGCAGGGTCCCTTTCCTCAGATACTCCAGGAGGTTTTTCCACATGCTGAGATGTTTTTTCTATAGTTTTCTTAGAATCTCCGTTTGCAAAATTGTTTGATGCCAAAAATCCTAGAAGTTCTTCTAAATTATAGTTATCAAAATCATCTCTTCCCCCATCGAAGCAAACAAAATCTGTCTCCTGTAAGGGAAAGAGAAACACTAGTATGTTGCTAGCCAGGTGTCACAAGAGCAAACTCTTACCCATGCTAATGACAAGGATAACCTTGAACTCATGGTTGGCTCTAAAGGAGCTTTCGTGCCGACCTTGGGCAATTACTGTCCTTGGGTAACTGGGAGACGGCAGGCGGGAACGCACCTGCCCCTGGCTTTCTGCTCCCGAGGAGGACTTCTACACCAGGCATACTTCTGTCTTCCCTTCCTTCCCCCCCCCCCTGCCCTGCCCCCATCTTCCGCTTGGGACCAGCTGGAGACAGCACATGTCCTCTGTCCTCAGTTTGATAGGAGCAGTTCCCCTGGGGACAACTCCCCAAGCCCCCCTACCTCACTCCGCCTCCGGCTGTGTCAGTCTGTCTTATTCTAGACTGAAATTTCAAGGGCCATTATTTTTTTTTAAATATTTTATTTGTTTATTTTGACAGAGGGGAAGGGAGGGAGAAAGAGATGAGAAAAACATCACTGTGTGGTTGCATCTCACGCCCCGCCCCCCACTGGGGACCCAGTCTACAACCCAGGCATGTGCCCCAACTGGGAATCGAACCAGCAATGCCCTGGTTTGCAGGGAGCCACACGAGCCAGGGCTTGAGGGCCCATTATTTCTGCACGTTTGAGCCATGTTTGCCAAAAAGCTTTATCCATAAATAACGGTGGCAGTTTAGTCTTCATCTGCCTGCCTGCTGGGCCTCTCAGTTTGTTCTGGGCACAGGTGGGAAAAAGTGGGGCTCGCTGACTGGGTCCCCCAACTTCCAACATCGACACCCGAGGTTCTGGGAACTCACCACGTATAGTCATTTGTGTGGGAGAGGCTGGAGAACCGTCCAGTGCCTCTGCCATCCTGCCCTGCAGGCTGCCCTTCCCGCTTAACCCGGCCAGAAATGGGCAGAATCGCCTCGCTGCCGGGCTCTGAGTCTACGCAGATTATTTAGCTCCTATTTTCTTGGATTGGGAAAGATAAATCAGCTTAAGAAGTATCTCACTGACATACAGGTGCACAGGGAGTAAAAATTTAAAGGACCAAAGAACTGTGTTGGGGGGGCCCACTAATTTAATTATCACCACCAATGTGACTTGAAAACACGATTCAGTCATGAATATACTCTACTCTAAACTGGGGTTCTTGGTGTCAATAAACTCTGCTTTCAAGACTGTTCGTAAATCTATATTCTTCCTCTCCTGTAAAAACTATATTGACATTCAAGGGGCCATAAGGGGAAGAGAAAGTGGAAAAAAAACCAAAAAAAGGTCATTCTCTTCTCCTTGCTAGCCCTTCCCACTACTCTGGGGAGACCTGCCCAGGGTGGCAGGGGGGAATGGTTTCATTTCCTCACCACACGCACGCCTCAGCCATTTCCAAGGCACTGGGAGAAGGCAGCGTCCCAAACACACGAGGCCCCTGTGGCCAGTGAGCTGCTGTTGCACACGTATCCCAGAAGTCTCTTCATTAGGAGCAAGGCCAAACAGGCAACAGGGCTGACCTTATGACCCCTGAGACTATCAAAACATTTCAAGAACAGCAATGGCACCATGGCTGGTGTGACTCAGTAGATGGAGCACCAGCCTGCAAACTGAAAGGTCCCTGGTTCAATTCCCAGTCAGGGCACATGCCTGGGTTGTGGGCCGGGTCCCCAGTTGGGGGTGAGCGAGGAGCCACGAACCAATGTTTCTCTCCCTCTCTTTCTCACATCTTTCCCCTCTCTCTAAAAAATAAGTAAAAATCTTTAAAAAAAAATTAGCAATGGCTCTAAAACCTCACCCGTTCTACCAGTCTCATCTAAGAACTGCCCAGGGCCAGCAGCATGTTCTGCAGCAACTCCGATGAGCTGCTCAGAGGCCTCTGAAGGAAGGTGGCACCAGTTACTATAAACTCCAGAAATCATCAATCGCATGAGCATCCTGTCCTTGTCTTCACAGAGCTGTGTTAATGAAGTCAGTGCCCCCTAGATGGACGCTGTATAGAATGTGCCGTCGGCACCTCCTAGATACGAGACAGGACTTCATCTGAAACTCCCCAGTCCCTTTTCCAGGTCTGTAATACACTCACCCCTTAAATCACTAAAGAGTCAATAAGACGTTCCTTACACCTTTGCACTTCTGGCCTAGTACATATGTGAGGGTGTCTGATCAATGTAACCTGATTTCTATTGACTTAAACTGTCTAAGGACCATTCAATGAATGGTTTTCAAATGGAGACACCTTTTCCTTTTGCTGATGAAAAAGAATTATTTACCTCACAAATGTAATAGCTAAATGCAAAAATATTGAATTCTTAATTTTTTCTCATAGAAAGCAGCAAAAATAACCCCGTAGAAGAATACACAACCTTGCATAAGAACCCCTACTTCAATGTATTAGGTAACTATCAGATTGTGACGCAAAGTCTCCTAGAAATTCATTTTCTTTTTTCCTCTTTTTAAAGGGAGTCGGACTCTAAATTAAAATCTGATACACAAACGTTAACTTTTCTTTTTCTAACAAAACATACGGAAAGACCTTCAAAAATAAAGCAGGTCCTTGACTAACGTCTTGTTCAATGTCATTCCGTTGGAACATCGGTAAAGTGACATAGAAACTTAACTCTTGCTGATATCAATGAACCTATAATAAAACTGGCTTTGTTATGTGGCATTTTGCTTAAAGTCACAGAACCTGTAGACAACACTAAGTGAGGACTTCATGTAATCAGTAACTGATGAATTTGTAAGCCCATTATAACAGAGAACCAAAATACAAAATCCACCACTTACATCTGCTGGAACTTGTAGCTCTTGTTTAGTGTATGTATGGGCTACCTTGATTAAAGCCTTTGGAAAATATCCAAAAATACGTCCAACCTATATAAAAGAATGGGCAAAAGAAACATGTCAATCAAAATTCTGTACAAGAAACATGCACGAGAGAAAGTGGACAGACAGGCAGCTCCAAGCACAGAAGCGCACCATCACTTGAATGATCACAGAAATTATGATTCGAATAAAAATTAACTACATCATATTGTCAAGCCAACTTTCCTAAAACCACTGAAGTTTTCTTTCAACGTTCAGCTTAATTCTAAACACAGAGCACAGGAAGTTAGATTTTTGAAGTACATAAAAGCTGCATAAGAGAAGATTGTTGTCTATTATATGATTAAAACTATGCAAATCGAAGCTGGTTGGAAACACAATTCCAAATAACCTCTAGCAAGAATTTACCTCCACATTTCACAGCACTGCTCATAAACCTGTACTTACATGTCTTTCTTAAACCAATGAACTCCAGCCATAGAAAATGAATAAGTAAAAAATACAAAATTTCTGAAACGTATGACCAACACTACAAAAGGCCACTATTTCTGGATATTATGAGCTATACTAGCTTTGTCAAAAACTAGAGTTTCAAGTATTAGGGGGAAAATAAAATTCTTACTAATCTATACATCAAGCTTTGGTTTTATGCAAAATAAACCTCTGTAGAAGATTACCCTGTTCATCTGTAGCACTAACACCTAAGGTTAGACTAAGTCATGTCCGCTTGAGAAACACACTCTGTCTGTTACTAGCCGCAGTCTGAAAGAGAGTGGTAGATCACTTCCCAATCACTAAAGGAGACTGGTAGGCAGATCAAATGCACAAAAAGAAAAAAAGGCTATCTTATCACCAACTCCTAAAATATCCTCATTATGAGCGCTCCAGTTATATCTGGCAGCTACCTGAGAGCCAGTGTTCCTGGGAGAATACTACCTTGGAGATTAGATAACCCAGGGCAATTAAAACCGCCACACTGGCAGTTCAAGTCTGCCACTCTAAGAAAGCAAAAAAGATGGCAGGATGAAAACTAAGAAATAGAAAGAAGAATCCTTTGAAAGCTAAGGGGAAGAGTTTTTCATTTCCTGAGTTAGAAGGTTCATGAAATGAGAGAGTTAAGAGAAAACATCCCTTTTCTCCTTCTCGGGAAAATTTCATTTAAAGAAAACCTGGAAAAGAGACAAAAAAAATATCAGAGATCTGTAGAGAAATACATTTATTTTTGTGTAAACTCTGTGATACAAAACTCCATATTTTTATACTGGATGGGGTCCCATTTCTTATGATACAACCCCCGCAAAATGTTGTAGAATTAAGGGCCCTCATAAATAGAAGTAATCCGTGTGTCTTAATTTTGCTTCCATGTATAATCCCCGCCAAGGGACTGCTGATTTGGAAGGAAAAGCAAAGCAGAATATTGTTTTAAGAGAACAATTTCTGCATAGCTACTATCAGGACAAACGTGAATGGCACCCGCCCCAGAAGGAAATATTCTGAAGGAACGTGCATTAATTACAGGGCTTTTGATTTTTAGGAGCTAAGTCTGCACACGCACTAACGGCAATGCAAAGCAGAAAATAAAAATGTCACACAAGCAAACACTGTGCCTCCTAAACAACGCTCAGACAGCAAAGGGCCCTTCTGGCTGGGCGCTCAGGGCGGTGCTCCCCAAAGAGGCAGGATGACGGTGGGGACCCGGGAAGACGGCCGGCTTTCCAGAGTGGACACGGGTGTGCACGAAAGTGTGGAGGGGGAAAAATGCAAGTGGACTTCGCTGACAAATGCTCAAACTTGACCACCAGATTAAAAATGCAGCCTGGGGACGTGGCATAACCGTCCAAGAGAAAAGACTTAAGAAATCGCCTGTGGTAGACCTGAAAGAAACAGAATAGATTCTCCTTTGTATTGAGTGATTCAACTGGGACTCTAGTGGAATCACAAGGTCTGTACCTGACTGGGTGGCCTTGCCATGTCCCTCCCTAGGAATCCGACTGCCAACAAAACCGAGCTGCTCTTCCCTGCGGAGGTTTCTCAAGGCTCATTTTCTGTGGTTTGTTTTGGTGTCTCATGGAGATTTTGAAAGCTTCCACAGCGGGGACTGGGTATTTCTCTAAGTTGGGACAATTCTAAGGACATCAGAGACTCTTACTGCTCTCAGTAAGTACACAGTCCACACTCTGAAAAGGACAATTAACTCCCACGCCTCTCAATCTCTTGGTCCTAGAGAATATCCTCATTCAAAACATCAGAGCACGCTGTGCTCACTGATTTCCGTGTCTGATATCAGGGCACCCAGAGAACTGGGTGGGACTGAGCTTCAGGGGGACCGTGGGGAGCAGGCATCTGCAAAGCACGGAAAGGGTGAAGTTGCAAGCAGAACAAACACCCAAACAAGAGAGCACACAGTGAAAGCAACATTTGCTGTTTAACAGACTAAGAACAGCGCGCAGGATTAGGTGACTGTCCCCTGAACTGCCAGTTTTTCACAAATAATAATTTAGAAAAAATAAATGCACACAAAATCAACTTTAATCGTGAAACAGTCTCACACATCGCTTACGGTAGTAAGTCTAATGCCCACGAATCCTTCCATTTTAAAGCAATGAAGTTCAGGGATTTTCGGGTTGCATTTCAAACTTGACTACATATGGAGCCGCCATGGCCCTGAAGGCCTTAGAACTTGATGCTGAGGAGCAACAGCCGGAAGCAGTTCCCTCTGTTTACGAAACCCCTACTGGGCCCCTGCTCTGTGCCAAGCCTGATGCCTGCTGGGGAGACACAGCAGAGAGGACCTGGGAATGCCATCGAGGACGCGAAGAACAGTTATTTAAATCGACAGTGCTGAACGAGCCAATACAAAGTCAGAAGAGAAAGCATGTCATTTTCTCCCTCCTTTTTCCTGGCAGAATTCACACGTGGTCCCCGAGCCTGCAGGTCCTGAATTGCAGTCCTTTCTTTTTCTTGAATAAAATTTTTTTTGGTGATGAAAAAGGGGGGGGGGGAAGTATATTAAATGTTTACTTACACTTCCAGCCCAAACTTCAGGTGATTTCCCTGCCAGTTTGTAGTAGACATAGACATTGTCGCCTTTTTTAAAATTCACAAAACGACAGTCCGGGCCTGTGAAATCTTGTAGAGCCTCACCCCGGTGCATTAACACTGCATATGAGAGAGAGAAGAAATAAGCAGATATCAGGGTTCCAGTTTCGTGGTCCATATTGATTCGTCAGGAAGTAGAAGAACCCGCTGTGAACAACTTTCTCCAGCACTGCCTGGAATCAGTCGCTTTTGAGTCATGTGTTCAGAATACCTAAAATCTTTACCGTTTTATCCTTATAAATCAGGACACCCACCCACCCCCGCCACCCACCCCTGGCAAATAGGGCAGAGGGAAACTCTCACTAGTTTTGTTTATGGATAATGCTGAGAAACAAAACCCAGCATGTCCACCCCCTAAAAGGCTGTTCTCAGTAGTAACTTTTGGTTCCCTCTCTAGCCTTCTAGTCTTGACCTTTGTCATTTCATAGTCATAAAAAGACTTCATTTTGTACTTGGGTAAACTCAAGCGCAGATGCTGACTAGCTTAAGCGTGGGTACACGTAGCAGTAATAGGGAACAGGGGAGAGCACCCAGAAGCCCCCAAGGGATCAATTAACTTCAACTAACCCCTGAAAGGCACTGCCTGTAAGTGGCTCTAACTGGTGCCACTAGCAGTAAACACTGTCCATTTCGTTTGTCCCTAGATTGTTCTCTCTACACAAGACCTGGATGAATTACCAGGAAGGGATAGTGCACCCTGTATGATGGACCCAATCACACGACAAGGTGATACCGTCTGAAAGTGAGTGATGTGTACCGCGGCCAACATGAAGAAGGTTCTGTTCCAACAAAGCGAAGTTAAAATACCCTTATTTACTGGTTTCTATGAACAAAATCAGAAGTGGATGTCACACGTGACAGAGACAAGCACAACTTGTAAAAATTGCTCACTAGTCACTGTTGGTCTTAAAGCGCCCGCCTTCAATCACACGTGCTCTAGAAACTCACAGAGGTGTTTTTTCCATTTTTTGGCCAAACACACAGTTTCTGATGTAAGGGGAAATGGACAATAAATCCAATTAAATAGAGACAAAGAAGGATGAAATGGAAATAACACTTTTCTAAAAGCCCATTAGCAATAAATATATTACAACATATCTTTAAATACATGTTGGAGGGACAAAGACTGATTTACAGGGGGTTATTTGGATTCTGACGCTAAAAATCTCGTTATTTTAATACATGTCAGCATCCCAATTCAGAGATAATTGGGTGTGATGGGCCAGTGACTGTATCAGAACTGTAAACAGCAGTGGTTCTCTCATTCCCCTGAGAAGAGGTCGTGGAGGATGTGTAACAGTAAGTGAGATGCAATACAACGCAGAGCGTAAAACATTTTTCTGAAAAGCACAAGCCACATAGCACAGCCCCAGGTCCTGCTTCAGCTGCTTCCTGCTGTTTGGTTACATTGTGTCCTTTGGACAGAAGCCACATGACAACCTAACAGTGCTTTCAACACCAGGTGGCCCACTGAGGAAGCATCAGTGATGCGATTCTCCAGGTACCTGGTTTGGAAGAGTTCAGGTAGGATAGTGCTTGAAAGCAAAGAATAGTGAACATGTGCCGTAGCCAGCCCTGCTTGATACTACCTGGGTCTGCTCCCGGAGAACTAAGGGAAAAACTGTGGAGGTTGCTCCGCTTTTCTAGTGCGGATTTACACCGGCCCCAGGGTTACCTCTTGGAGTGACGCAAATCCGAGACTGCCTCCTTTCTTATTTGAGGTGCTGCAGTATCACAAACTTCGAATTGTGGAATTCTTCTTTGAATAACACCAATTTGAATAGAAATAGCTAAACCGTCGAGCCTCACCCGTGGCTCTAGGCCCGTGGCCTTTTCTGAATGAACATTTTCTATACCTTCTGATTACAACGTGTGAACAACCGTCTGGGCAGCGGTTATCACTGAGGTACAAGGTTCCTGGAGAACAACTTCTGGGAGGCTAAGAACGATCCTGGTTCAGCAAACTCACAGGAAGAGATTCAAACACAAGGGGCTAGGGCTAAAGGTGGTTAGGTTTACCAAACCCTTAGAGCGTTTATTATTGTTACTTTCATAATCCAATTCATTGGAGCCCGGACATCTCCGCCCTCCACACCACCCTCCACCCCCCCCCCCCCCCCCGTCGGAGGCTGGGGAACGACTCCGCTTCCTGCGTGGAGAGGAGGCTGCGGGTCCCAGGTGGCCAGTGCACATCCTCCGCAACTTTCGAGAGCCAGAGCCAGAGCCGTAGATTTTGGCCTTGCTGATGCCCTCCCTGCCTGGCTGCTCGCAAGGAGACTTCCAAGCACAGAAATGACAGGACAGAGACCCGGACGGAGACCCTGAAATACACTGCAAGCCTAGACTCCGAGATTGTCCCAAACCCAAACTCCAAAATCTGTTCAAAAGGCAGTATGTGCCCCAAATCCGAGTGAAACAGAAGGGCGAAGGGGCAGCTCCGGGGGTGCCCTTTCCGATCCCTGTCAACAACCTTCGGCAGGGAATCCGCCCACCGAGCCCTGAGCGCATCTGCCCCCGCCGCACAGCACCCACCCGGGGTTCCCCGCAGTGGGGGCAGGAAAGTGCTCGGCGTCAGCGTGGGAACCCCAGGGCACGCGGCGCACCGCCCCATCGCCCCTCGGAGCCAGGTGGCCGAGGGTAGCGGACACCCGGTGCTGCTCCGGGGAGGACCGGGGACACCTCCAACCCCCAAAGCCCCATATCTGTGGGCCAAGAAAAAATAAAACGCCCGCAACAAGTGGGAGGTGCAGCCCCCCCGCGGCCAGGGCCTGCCGCCCGGGCATCCACAGAGCCTCTGCGCGCAAACGCAGGGACCCGGGGCTCGGCCCCAGGCCGCTTCCCAGCGCCCCGCCCTCCCGCCTAGGCTGCGATTCCCCCCGGCCCGCAAGGGGGCTGCCCATCTGCCGCCCCCGCGTGGCCCCCGCCGGGTCTCCGCCCCCCCACCCCGGCACTCACTGCTGCAATCGGCGTCGCCGCAGAGTTTGTGTTCCGAGAAGCGCCGGTCCATGTCAGGCTCCGGATGGCCCGGTACCCGCCAGGGCATCCCAAGCAGAAGCAGCCACAAGGGCAGCCCCGGCGCCGCAGCCATGTTGTGGTCACCGCGGGGAGCCGGTGACGCGGAGGACGCAGCCGGTGCCGGCGCCAGCGGGCGGGGCCGGGGGCGGAGCTCGGAGGGCGGTGGTGGAGCGCGCAGCCGAGGGGCGGCACCTGGGGACGGTTGGAGAGGTTCCTGTCCGACACGTCAGCACCGGCTGTAGGAGAGGGAGAGGGGCCTAGGGGGACAACGCTCCATCCTTCGCCCCCCACTCAACCCCCCCGACCCTCTGGGCTCTGCGACCTTAGACCCCTAACCTCGCACCAACCTCCTCTCGGTGGCATGATGCGAGTTTTTCGCGGCTTCCCACTTCCGATCGGCCGCCCCCATTCTTGGTTTGGTACCTCTTTCCCAACTATGAAATCCCACCCACGGTTTGCCTGTTAGTCCCCGTTTCCAGGCTCCGGACACCCCTTTGATTAGGAAGGGGGAGAGGGAGCGGAATGGTCCATTGGTGATACAGCGGGTGGCCGGCTGGGTCTCTAGGGGCCTTGGGAGACAGAGGTGGGCAATGAGTGGGTCCCTGTGCTGAGAGCTCAAGATACTTTGGGCTGTATCCACCAGGGAAGAAGTAATTGAATCCAATGCAAATGTGTTGCGCTTCCATCTTAGGCCACCATTTCATGCCAGGCACCAGGGTGGTGTGCAGGAATATGTAGGGCAAAGATAAGATAGCTGGTCCTGGTCGAAGGAAGCCCACATGCAGTGGAAACCAACTGCTGTAAGAACGACTGACGACTCAGAGTCAGAGTAGGAGAAAGCTAGCCAATGGCAGCTAAGATTTATTGAGTCTTCAGGAGTACGTGTTACTCTATGGTCTTTATATCTAACAGTTCATTTAGTCTTCACAACAATAGTACCTAACCATGGTAGATCCTACTGCTAGCCACGTGTCTGCATTTCTGAGATAAGCAAATTGAGGCATTCAAACTCTAGTGGGTGGTGAAGCTAAGGTTCACATTCGTGTAGAAACTTTCCTGTTAATCACAACTCTTTAACGCCTCCATCAAGCAACATGCAATTTCTGTTTTGTTTTTCTGACTAGGGGAAGCAACATCGTTCAGTTTAAGCAACAGCAAAACTGAATTATCTGCACATGCAATTCAAAAAAGTGCCACAGGCTGGCAGGTCAGTTCAGGGCGGAGGGGCTCTGATGCTCCGGCCCAGGGTGGAGCACTTTGCGTTTGTCTGCCACTAAGGCCTACTTGTTGCAGGTCTAAGCAGGTGGTTCATCACCCTAGAACACCAGTCAAACCATCCATTGGTTTTCTAAACTACTGGATCCCTTAAAAGAAGAGAGAATGTGGTTGGTCCATGCAGTCCATGATGTTGAATAATGGAAAAGATGGGACCATCCCACAGACGTTCTCACTTGTTTGTCTATAGGAGCTATGAGATATTCCATTGGTCCAGAGTCGTTCCCATGCCAACTGGAGAGAATGTACCATAGACAATGCACCATGGATTTAAGCCGCAGTGCCCTCTGGAGTGCTTCATTGTTCTTCTATGTAATTATTTGCTTAAATTCTTAGATGTGGCTAACAGGCATCTCTAACATAACATGTTAAAAACCAAACTCCTTATTTTTCTCTCTCGAACTCTGTTCTGTTCACCTTTCTTATCTGCAAATATAATGACATTTTAATTCCTATCTTCCAGGTGCTTCAAGCCAAAAATTTACAAACCATTACCAACACCTCTTCCTCTCACACCCCAGGCTCAATTCACCAGACAATCCTGTACACTCTCTATTTTAATAACTTTATTGAGGCATAAGTGACATACAGTGAGCTGCATGTATTTAAAGTGTTCGATCTGATAGGTTTGGGCAGATGTATACACCCGTGACACTATTGTCAAAATCAAGATGATCGACACGCCCACCACCCCTAAGAGTCCCCGAGTGCCTTTGTAATTCCCTCCTCTCCACTCCTGCCTGTCTCCGGCAAACTTCCGTTGCTATGGATGGATTTGTAATTTGAAAATTTGAAATAAATGAAGTCATACAGTATGGACTATTTTTGGGACTTCTTTCACTCAGCATAAGCATTTGAAATACGTCCAGAATCTGACCGCTTCTCACCAGCTCCCAGGCTAACACTGCAGGCCAAGCCACAGCCCCTAAAAGATTGCAATAGCCTCCTCTGTCCTTCCCACTTCTGTCTTTGCCTTCCTAAAGTCTTATTCAGAGTAATAAACCAGGCAGATCCTAGTAAAGGTCATAGTTAAAAGTGAAAATGCTATGATTGGTAACAATATAGAGAGAAAAACAGCCAGCACCCATGTCTTTACGCTGTCAGGTCAGCCTGCACAGTTTCACTTCCTGCTGGACATCCTGAGATCTTCCTTTCCTCCCTCTCTTCAGGTTTCTGGCTTTTGTGTCTAGTGTCATCCTGGGTGGTCCGTGACTAGGAGATGGGTCCACCTTTTACACCTGTGCCCAAGCAGCCTGGATCTTGTCTCTATCCCTGAGGGTGGAGAATGACTCTGGGTTCTTATCATATTCTTTAGAGAGGAAACTCCTAAAAGATCAACAAATCTCTCTCGCAATTATCTCTTAGTAAGAGTTGGGGGATGGGAAGAAGTCAAGAACCCGGCCACACAATGAGTGCTAAAATGTGTTTTGGTACAAATTCTAACCACTAAAGAGGTCATATGTTGGGAACCACCCTTCCTGGTTTCACAAGCTGTCACCCCTCATGGCTGAGGCTGAATAAAGGACCTTGGGACCATAAGCCACTAAGGAGACAAAGCTTATCTTCCTGGTAGGGTGAGACCTCTGCCCCCTTTACTTCACCCTACCTGGCCCCAGATGGATGACTGGTTAGCCAATGACAGGTAATATTCCTCAAGGGAGGGACGACCTAAGACAGGTTTGGTCATGATGGGACCATCAGGGAAGGACTAGGGGGGCTACAGAACAAGGTGTTGATGGATCCTCACCCCTGGGCTTTGACAAAGCCTGAGTCTTCATTCTGTCTGCAAGAAGCCTCTTGGCCGCCTCACTTTCCCTGCCTGACTTAAGCCTAAAACAATGCCACAGGATGATACAGCCCTGGGCAGGATCAGGCCTAAGAAAGAATGCATAAAATCCTATGAAACCTGCTTTGTCAAGAATATCCTCAGTTTTCGGATAAGGGTCCAAGCATAAAATGAGTTTGTTTACCAAAGTTTTATGGCCCTTTAGCTAGCTGACCCTAACTCAGAATAAGCCCTCCTAGTTCTTTGAATGTTATCTGTTGTTTGATCCTTATTGTCTGAGCATGACTGATGAGCTTTACCTATCTTCCTGTGCAAATTGAACCCAATAAAAGCCCATGGAGGAGCAGGCTCAAGGCCCTTCTCCTTTGACAGATTGGCCACCTTTCTTCCTCAAGCAGATCATGTCTTGGTAGAACTATATTCATCCATGGTAGATGGTGGGGCTGTGCTGGACAAAGCTGCCCCACATTCAAAGAAGGAGGGAGGTATATGATGGTGATAGGACTTGAGTTGGGTCTTGGTGAGTTAGGTAGGATTTAGATTCTTAAAAGAAAGGAAAGGGCGAGTAAAGAAAGCAGCATAAAACAAAAGGGAGCAGAAAGAAATATTCAAAGGACAGTAAGGAGACCTAACAATAGTGGGAAGTAAATTTGGGTGACCAGGTAAGTCAGATTGTGAAAACCAATTATATGAATTTAGACTGAGTAGAGTCAAAGACACAAAGCTATCTCTGAGTTTAAGTAAAGAAATCATAAAACTAAAGTGAACTTTAAGCAAGTGTCCTGTTCTGAAAGCCAAGGAGAATGAAGTTTTGCGTTAAGCCTGGCCAGTGGGGTTAAATCCTTCCCCTCGATTAAAAGCCATGCCAAAGGGTATGTTCTCCTGGGAGTGCAACGTATGTAAGGCAAGGTCTTCCATCAGCCTGTACTATTTGTCTAGTCTTGGCCAATGTCCCAATTTCTATTGTGGAAAGAAAGAAACTCAAACATCTGAAATTGCCTCTAATATATAGGCTTTGGTATCAGTGTAAGTTCCTGTTTCCGGTTCTCCCTAATTTACCTTGGCACTATTTTCACAGAAATCAAGTATTTGCTGCTTAGAAACAGATGCAGAGCCAATTCCAGGGTGGGGTCTATACGACTCAGTTTCCACAGTGTAGACTGTGTTCAGATATGAACTATGTCCTTACAGGACAAGAACAAAAGCAGGGAATGTACTCAGAAGAATCTAGCTAGGCAGCAGCAGCCTGATCGTGGGGCCTTAGGCAACCCATTGATTTCTCTGTGTCTGACTCCACATCTATAGGGTTGGGGCTCATGTTGGCACTTCACGGTGTTTCTTTAAGAAGCAAGTAAGGTCACATAGTAAAGGCTGCCCATTCATGTTGTTTAAAAAATTAGACAGCAACATATCTGGCTCTTCGCCAGCAGGGATAGTGGATGATGTAACAAGAGTCTCAGCAAATTAACGTCTTTGTCGCAGAGGGATATTTTTAGATAGTACCTGTCCTGGACACTTCCTTCCTTTCTAACTAAAAGCCAGGGTGGCAAGCAACAGCCTCCCAGGCACAGCCCACCTGTTAACGAATCACACATCCAGACAAAGCAAAGCTTCTAAATCCGAAATATTTTCATTGATGCATTCAGTATAAAATTAGGGACAGGAACATAAGTACCATCATGAAGACTACTTAAATGTAGATACCAAGCAATTGCATACAGAAAAAGTAAGAGTTCCCTGCGAATCTAAAAGCTCGTTCCAATTTAAAGCTGCATAGGATGGGAAATGGTCTGGAATACAGAAGAGGATGAATGAATGGCATCAAACCAGAATGATTAAATAAAGGATCCAAGCCTGATTTCCTATTTCTCACTTACTCTCCAGAACAATGCCGTCCAATAGTAAGAAAATGCCAGCTACAAATCTAAATTTTCTACAAGTCACATCAGAAAGGCAAAGCAAATCAGATGAAATGCATTTTAGTCATACATTTTATTTAACCTAATACATCAAAAATATTACTATTTCAATTTGTAATCACTCAAATTATTAATAAGACATTTTATGTTCTTTATTT